TAAGCACTCAGACTCATTCCTCACAGCCCAGCTTCAGACTCATTTCCTACAGCCCACCGCACACTGGCCCAAATCAATTGACACACTCATGGACTAATGGACCAAGACACAGCTTTTATATTGTTTTGAATGTTTTAGAGACCATTCAAACATAAAACAACCTGAAAAATGTCCAGTGGTACTGCAGTTTGGTTTACGGCTTCAAAAAACGTTATAATTGAATTTATTATTTAACATAAATAGATTAGTATGATCTGATTAGGCACATGGTAGTTACTCACACACTGTTGCTGTTTCTCCTGAAATGTAAATGTACAGTATGTTTCCCATGTTATGGCCTTACGCTCTTTCTCCAAACTGTGTTGTGACGTAGCCAGCTGCAGTGAATGGTGCCAAACAGTAGCTATAGATGTGGGGGCTGAGCTTGTTTTTGTTTGAACCTTTTACCTCTCTGCATATGGGCAAGACATCGAATCGCAACCACAACCCCAACCAAAACAGATTAGATAGCAGCTACTTGTAAAACAATATCACAATGTAAAGAGAAACATTGAAAACGTTTGCTAAACAAAAAAAATGGACAGAGAGAACACTGGGACCTTAAAGACCCACACTAACTGAGTCAACATGTGTAGCTTAGCTGCTAAACGTTCATGTATGTAAGTGGGTGTGTAATTTACTTCCAATATGTCACAGGAAAACATTGTAGAATAATGTGCCAGTCTCCAGTTTGATCTACGTGTCTGTGTGACATGCAGCAAAGCTGTAGTCTGGCTGGGAGCCGTACAGCCAGTTGGGCACCATCTGCCCTGACTCCCTCCCTGCTTCTCATGTCCATGGGAGAGGAGCCAGCTGTGTGGTGAGAATTATCTCTCTCTCTCCCCCTCTCTGTCAAACAGACAGTCTGTCATGCTCTCCCTCCGGCAATGTGATAACACCGATCCACATCCAATCTCATCAAATCAAACTCCATCTATCACACCTTTCCTCTGAGCTAGCCAGGGCTCCATACCAAAACAACACACATGGATGCATTAAGATATTTCTTTGTGAGTGTATTAGGGCTGTTGAGGAGGATGGCGTGTATAGTACATGCATCATCCATCATTTCCGTACCTGAATTCACCTGTCGGTTGGATGACAACCTGACAAATAGACAAGCCAGCTCATCCCTCTATTTCACTCACACTGCCATGGAAGACCTCCCTCTCTCTACTGTGGTGGATAATGCTGAGGAAGTAGAAGCAAATTGAGCCAACAGGTCTAGGCACAGTGCTGCTATCCCACTGGGCACATACTGGTTGAATCAACATTGTTTCCACGTCATTTCAATGAAATTACGTTGAACCAATGTGGAATAGACGTTGAATTGACGTCCGTGCCCAGTGGGATAGTACAGCCACCTTTCTCCCCCGGGGGGAAGGGCGCAGAGGGAATGCCACACCCATTCGTTCCACTATGCCACCCTTTCACCGTCCCCTCCTTTCTTCATAAGGCATGTCACGCAGCATAATGAGGCAGAACTTCTTCAAAGGATTTGAAAAAGCACCAAAAAAAAATCCTCTTCAGAGTGGAGGAGTGGAGTGGAGGCACTCGGGGTAAAGACACCCAGGGAAGGCTTTACTCTTTTGTAATTAACATGCGGAAGTCAGAGACTTCAAACATCCATTAAAGCCGGGGTATTTTTTTGTATTATTTGCAAAGCCATGACTACACTACATATCTGCCATGACTACACTACATATCTGCCATGACTACACTACATATCTGGTACTGCTTTAAATCCCTATTTCCCCCGGCCTAGCTTATCAGCCGTGATAATAGAGTTAGAAGTCAACTGTGACCTCAGTACCTTTATTCACTCTTTGTTGCTACACCTGCCGCTGTTTTTAGATTTGATCTTCTCACAAGGTTTTCTCTTTCATCATGGTGACTGACCACTCTCTTACTTTGTACAGTATCAAAGCCAACATGTAAGTGGGGAGATAAAGCAAGCTAGAAACAGTGTGCAACGAACAAAAACATTTCTGACTGACTATCTCTGACCATGATCACACACACAGCTTAAAGGTGCAATATGCAGAAATCACAATTCCTGGTTGCTAAAATTCTAATAGTTTGCTTAATTTCAGTTTATGTGACAAAACCAGCAGTCATTGTGTAGAGAATCATTGTACCATCTAAACCGCTGTGAAATATATTTTCAATAACCACAAATATTATATTTTCAGCTGTTTGAAGCTGGTGTACAAAACCAAAAGTAAAAGATGGAAAAATGAAACTTAAGAATGGGAAACATAGAAATAGCGCACATAGAACAGATTTACAGCTTCTTGCCTTAAATGACAATGACAGATCTATATCTCACATTTCTATGTGAATTTGGTCGGTTAGCTCAAAAAGTTACATATTGCAGCTTTAATTATAATTACTCCACTGCATCACAGATTTACTGAGTTACATAATAATCTGTATTTAATTGCTCTTCCTGTCATTCAGAAATAGAAAGCAGCCAGACAACTAAAGCTCAATGTTTATCCCAGCACAAATGATAATCTGCGGTTGGAGTGTCAGTCGGCCTAGGAAGAATAACAGATGTGGTGGATGGCACCATCTAGTGTTCACTAATGATATCACATGACACTGAAAACTTCACACAAGCTAGAACTGGACCAGTTGTTCTCAACCTTTTTCGGTTACTGTACCACCAAGGTGGTGGTTGGACTTTAATTGGGGAGGACGGGTTCATAGTAATGGCTGGAACAGAATTAATGGCATCAAATACATCAAACACATGGTTTCATGTTGTTGATACCATTCCATTTACTCCATTCAAGCCATTATTATGAGCCATCCTCCCCTCAGCAGCCTTACATTTTACATTTTAGTCATTTAGCAGATGCTCTTATCCAGAGCAACTTACAGTTAGTGAGTGCATACATTTTCATACTGGCCCCCCGTGGGAATCGAACACACAACCCTGGCGTTGCAAATGCCATGCGCTACCATCTGAGCTACACAGGCCTTCTGTGTACCAAGTACATTTTGCTCATCCCGGAGAACCCCTGAAGTACCCCCTCATGTGCATTTTACCAGTAAGCCTAGGTCTCACCACTCATCAAACTGAGCGAATTCAACCTCACGAAGGCTGACTTAGATTAATTTCATTCCACCTCTTTCTTTCCACTCCTTTCATCATTTGACTTCACCCTTTCCCAGCCCCCTCCCACTTAGAGTAATATTCACTCTCTCTCTCCCAATACTCTCTCTTATTCTATCCTATCATCTCTCCTGTCTCCTGACTCTGCCTCTTCGACCCTACTCTCTTCCCTTTCCGCATCCGTTGACTCTCACTGTCCCCTTTCCCCCGGCCGGTTCAACCCTTCCCTTCCTGCTCCGTGGCTGAGTGACTCACTGCGTGCTCACAGAATAGGGCTGCGGGCAGCTGAGCGAAAATGGAGGAAAACTAAACTGCTGGGTGACCTATCATCCTTCCACTCCTTCGTCTCTACCTTCTTTGCCTCTGTATCTGCTGCTAAAGCCACTTTCTATCACTCTACATTTCAAGCTTCTGCCTCAAATCCTGGGAAACTCTTTTCAACTTTCAACTTAATCCTCCACCTCCTCCCCCTCCCTCCTTCCTCTCTGCGGACGACTTTGTTGTTGCACAACTCTGCTGCGCTTCAGCTTCAGCTCACGGACGGATGGCCTGACATTCTCCTTTAGAATGCTCTGATACAGAGCAGAATTCATTGTTCCTTCAATGAGCAAGTCGGATTCTGCTCTGTATCAGAGAATTCTAAAGAAGCGCAGCTGGGTCATGCAGCAAGACAATAATCCAAAACAAACAAGGAAGTCTACATTAGAATGGCTGAAAAGCAACACATTTAAAGTTTTGGAATGGCCTAGTCAAAGTCCAGACCTAAACCCGATTGAGATGTTGTGGCAGGACCTGAAACGCCAAGTTCATGCTCGAAAACCCACCAATGTTGGTGAGTTAAAGCAGTTCTGCATGGAAGAGTGGGACCAAATTCCTCCACAGCGATGTGAGAGACTGATCAACAACTACAGGAATCATTTGGTTGCAGTCTCATTGCAGCTAAAGGTGGCACAACCAGTTATTGAGTGTAAGGGGGCAATTACTTCTTCACACAGGGGCATTGGGTGTTGCATAATTTTGATAATTAAATAAATGAAATAAGTATTAACATTTTGTGTTATTTATTCACGTAGGTTCCCAAAATAATACACACTAACAACCATTGTGTTATTGTAATGCTGTCTGCAGTGACTCATTGTGAGATTTAGTTATACCTCTCATGCACCATCCACCGACCACAAGCACATCCCCCATGACCCTAACCCTTCAATGTTTGCAGTTCTGCAAAGTAGACTCAATGGTTGAAAGCTGCTGATATCTACTGCCTTTCAGTTTTAGTATTAGTCACCGTGTCATGTTCAAGAGGAACACAACGACCATAGGAAAAGCTAACACTTCTGTTACCAGAAAGGTAATAATAATAATAATAATTGTATTTTATTTAATTATTTTGGGGGGTTAACTTTGTCTATCTTGGTCAGTGCAATAATGGCTAGTTGATTAGTAGGAAAATCAACACAAGCAACAAAATAATTATTCAATAATCAACAAACAAATAGTCCTGTCAAAGAAAGTCAAAATCCAAGGAAATAGATATATTTGTTGTGGGAATGTTGTATGCAAAATAACCATAGGACAACCACGCTCTGGACAATAAAGTTGTCCTGCATCTAATTCCAGATGGCGCCTGTGTGTTGGACACCTCCAAGCAGGCATCTGCAATGTAGTTAGGCAGCAACACCACCATAGTCTTAGCCAAGTACAAACATTTACACATTATTTTCATAGTTTCTTTGTTGAACAGACTGTTGATGTTAAAATGTCATGCTCACCGCCACAGTCTTACCTGGTACAAATAAATAGATTGTTATAATGTTCTGATTATGTCTAGTGATCTAAAATGGCGATTGTTCCGGAACTGCTGCTGGGGAGTTTTCAGGACCTGGATTCAGACGAGCTGAAGAAATTTCAGTGGTACTTAAAGGGGCATGTTTTGGATGGATTTCATAGCATCTCAAAGAGCCAGCTGGAGAATGCTAACAGACAGGGCACAGTGGATAAGATGGTAGAGAGTTACAGCAATGAGGGAGCTGTGCGAATGACACTGGAGATCCTGAGGAAAATGGGCCTGAACAATCTCTCAGAAAATTTAGAGAAGAACTACAGAGCAGGTAATACAGACGTTTATAGAACTGGTTTGAGATATCTGTATTGACTGACTGAAGAAAGTTTGAAATTGGCTTTATTAGTAAGGTTAAACCTAAGGTATTTTTTCTTTTTGTGCAGTGATTCTCAATAATGCCTACCATATCATGTATTTATGTAGCCATCTCTCGGAAGCGGGTCTGGAAGCAGGCTGAGAGGGATGAACTGAATGAGGAGGTCCCAAGCTGCTCATATGAAATGTGAGAGGAGATTGATATTAACAGCTGTGTAGCTCATGTATAGCATACTTTTTCTGAACTGATTGACATTAATATAGGAGATCATGTGGTGGTGGTGTAGTGGAGCAGAGCAGTGTGTGACTGTTTCCTGTGTCCAGGTCATCTTTGTCTGATGGGAAGCGTGGTCGTCTGATGTCTATGACCTCTCGGCTGGGGGAGGAGCTGGAGTATCTGGACAAGAAGGTAAGCCATTTCTGACAGGTGCCATTTCTGACAGGTGCCATTTCTGACAGGTGCCATTTCTGACAGGTGCCATTTCTGAGCCATTTCTCTGCTGACTGCTATATACATAATGCAGGGTGTGTGTGTGTGTGTATGTGTGTGTGTGTGTGTGTGTGTGTGAGTAGACACAGGCTGAGTGGGATGAGCTGATCAGCAACTCCTCTGGAATGTGAGTGTATCTGAATATTATTTTCCTGAGCTAAGTGAAAGAAATATGGAACACAGCATGACAAGGTGGTGAAGGGGAGCAGTGTGTGACTTGACTGTTTTGGTGTCTAGGTTGGCCCCGTCTAGGGTGGGGCATAATCAACTGGAGATCACTAGGCTGAAGGAGAAGCAGAAGGAACTGATAATGAAGGTAAGATTTGGCAATGTCTGAGGTGTCAAACATAATTGTGAGAAAACCACATAGAGGAAGTGCAATATGCTGCATCAGCAGAAGGAACTGATAATGAAGGTAAGATTTGGCAATGTCTGAAAACCACATATGCTGCATCATATGTGCTTGTGTGTGTGTGTGTGTCAGTGAGGTGAGGTCGGTGGCTGGGTAGGCACTGGCTATTATCAAATCCAGATTTACTCACAAATAAACCTTGATGAAGCCCAAGTTCACCATACAACAGATAGCCCCAACAGCCAGAGTGACATAGGCTATTAACCGAAATTGACAAAGTTTTCACCAAATGTAGGCCTAAATACTAATGTTGCCAAGGTACACAAGCGATAGCCTCCGATAGCCGCATATTGTATATAATCTGACAAAATGGCACTGCTCAACTCAGCTCAGTGATAGACCGATGTAGCATCCACAGTTACAACCGATAGGTGGCATTAAAATACCATTATATGGCCATATTTAACATGAATAGTTCGCAATGCAAACTCCATAGCCTTTCACAATGGATTTACAATTCGTCCAATGCACCGCACGCACAATCATACATACTGTATATTCTAAATAATATTGTTGAAGGTTCTAATGAAAATTCCACATTAACAATCAAAATGACTGAAACATGGTCTCATCAAAAACGAAATTCTAGCTCGATAAATCAAACACCAACGTGAAAAACAAAGCAATTGGCACGGTATAAACAGCTGACCAGCAAATGAAAAAAATGACAGATATGAATTAAGCAACGGATAAACCAACATAATGTATTGAAATAAAGGGCATGAATTAAAGGTACTACTGTCACGCCCTGACCTGGAGAGACTGTTATTATCTGGGTAGTTTGGTCAGGGTGTGAGAATCTATGTATTGTAAGTCTATGTTTGGCCGGGTGTGGTTCCCAATCAGAGGCAGCTGTCGCTCGTTGTCTCTGATTGGGGTTCATACTTAGGTAGCCTGGTTGCCTACCTTAGTTGTGGGATCTTGTTTGTGTTCCTGTTTCGTGTATAGCCCATAGGACGTCACGGTTTCGTTGAGTTTGTTATTTTGTCTAGTGTTTATCCAGTTTAATAAACATGTTCGCATACCACGCTGCACCTTGGTCTGACCCGTCTCTCAACGATCGTGACAATTACTTACATTATCAAGGTAAACAAAGCAAACTCGACCAAACAATGGCGAAAATGAGGAAAGTAAGCTACAAAGGAAAATCTTCTAGAAAGTTAGCTGAGTCCGTGCCATGATTCAGCACTGCTGAAAGGACACCCATCTACACACAATACCCCATAATGACAAAGTGAAAACATGTTTTTAGAAATGTTTGCAAATGTATTACATTTAATACAACAATATCTAATTTACATAAGAATTCATACCCTTGAGTCAATACATGTTAGAATCACCTTCGGCAGCGATTACACCCTTGAGTCTTTCTGGGGAAGTCTCGAAGAGCTTCGCACACCTGGATTGTACAATATTTGCCCATTATCCTTTTCAAAATTCTTCAAGCTCTGTCAAATTGGTTGTTGATCATTGCTAGACAACGATTTTCAAGTCTTGCCATAGATTTTCAAGCAGATTTAAGTCAAAACTGAAACTTGGCCACTCAGGAACATTCACTGTCTTCTTGGTAAGCAAGTCCAGTGTAGATTTGGCCTTGTGTTTTAGGTTATTGTCCTGCTGAAAGGTGAATTCATTTCCCAGTGTCTGGTGGAAAGCAGACTGAACCAGGTTTTCCTATAGTGATTTTGCCTGTTCTTAGCTGCATTTGGTTTATTTTTTATCCTAAAAAACTCCCCAGTACTTAACGATTACAAGCATACCCATAACATGATGCAGCCACCACTATGCTTGAAAATGTGGAGAGTGGTACTCAGTAATGTGCTGTATTGGATTTGCCCCAAACATAACACTTAGTATTCAGAACAAAAAGTGAATTGTTTTGCCACATTTTTTGCAGTATTACTTTAGTGCCCTGTTACAAACAGGATGCATGGTTTGGATTTTTTTTTATTCTGTACAAGTTTCCTTCTTTTCACTATGTCAATTAGGTTAGTATTGTGGAGTAATGTTAATCCATCCTCAGTTTTCTCCCATCACAGCCATTAATCTCTGTAACTGTTTTAAAGTCACCATTGGCCTCATGGTGAAATCCCTGAGCCGTTTCCTTCCTATCTGGCAACTGAATTAGGAAGGACGCTTGTATCTTTGTAGTGACTGGGTGTATTGATACACCATCCCAAGTGTAATTAATAACTTCACCATGCTCTAAGGAATTTTTAATGTCCGCTTTTCTTTTTTTACCCATATACCCTTTGTGAGGCATTGGAAAACATCCCTGGTCTTTGTGGTTGAATCTGTGTTTGAAATCCACTGTTCAACTGAGGGACCTTACAGATAATTTTATGTGTGGGGTACAGAGATGAGTTAGTCATAAAAAAATAATGTTAACACTATTTTTGCACACAGAGTGAGTCCATAAAACTTATGTGACTTGTTAAGCAAATTCTTACTCCTGAACTTATTTAGGTTTGTCATAACAAAGGGGTTGAACACATTTCAGCTTTTATTTTTTTATTAATTTGTAAAAATTTGGACAAACAAAATGTCACTTTATATTATGGTGTATTGTGTGTAGGCCAGTGACAAAAAAATCTGAATTCAATCCCAGGCTGTAACACAACAAGATTTGGAGAGACCTGAAAATAGGTGCTTCAACAAAGCACTGAGTAAAGGGTCTGAATACTTATTTAAATGTGGTATTTCTTTATGTATATATATATATATATATATATATATATATATATATATATATATATATATATATATATACAGTACCAATCAAAAGCACCTACTCATTCAAGGCTTTTCTTTATTTTTGCTATTTTCTACATTGTCAGTATGAAAATGTATGCACGCATGACTGTATGTCGCTTTGGATAAAAGCGTCTGCTAAATGGCATATTATATTATTATTATCAAAACTATGAAATAACACATATGGAATCATGTAGTAACCAAAAAAGTGTTAAACAAATCAAAATATGTTATATTTGAGATTCTTCAAAGTAGTTACCCTTTGCCTTGATGACAGCTTTGCACACTCTTCGCTTTCTCTCAACCAGCTTCATGAGGTAGTCACCTGGAATGCATTTCAATTAACAGGTGTGCCTTGTTAAAAGTACATTTGTGGAATCTCTTTCCTTCTTAATGCGTTTGAGTCAATCAGTTGTGTTGTGACAAGTTAGAGGTGGTATACAGAAGATAGCCCTATTTGGTAAAAGACCAAGTCCATATTATGGCAAGAACAGCTCAAATAAGCAAAGAGAAATGACAGTCCATTATTACTTTAAGACATGAAGTTCAGTCAATCCGGAAAATGTCAAGAACTTTGAAAGTTTCTTCAAGAGCAGTCGCAAAAAGCATCAAGCGCTATGATGAACCTGGCTCTCATGAGGACCGCCACAGGAAAGGAAGACCCAGAGTTACCTCTGCTGCAGAGGATAAGTTCATTAGAGTTACCAGCCTCAGAAATCGGTAATTAACTGCACCTCAGATTGCAGCCCAAATAAATGCTTCACAGAGCTCAAGTAACAGACATCTCAACATCAACTGTTCAGAGGAGACTGTGTGAATCAGGCCTTCATGGTTGCATTGCTGCAAAGAAATCACTACTAAAGGACACCAAGAAGAAGAGACTTGCTTTGGCCAAGAAACACTAGCAATGGACATTAGACCGGTGGAAATCTGTCCTTTGGTCTGATGAGATTTTTGGTTCCAACCGCCGTGTCTTTGTGAGACGCAGAGTAGGTGAACGGATGATCTCTGCATGTCTGGTTCCCACCGTGAAGCACGGAAGAGGAGGTGTGATGGTTCGGAGGTGCTTTGCTGGTGACACTGCCTGTGATTTATTTAGAATTCAAGGCACACTTAACCAGCATGGCTACCACAGCATTCTGCAGCAATACGCCATGCCATCTGGTTTGCGCTTAGTGGGACTATCATTTGTTTTTCAACAGGACAATGACCCAAAACACATCTCCAGGCTGTGTAAGGGCTATTTGACCAAGAAGGAGAGCTGCATCAGATGACCTGGCCTCGACAATATCCCGACCTCAACCCAATTGAGATGGTTTGGGATGAGTCGGACCGCAGAGTGAAGGAAAAGCAGCCAATAAGTGCTCAGTATATGTGGGAAATCATTCAAGACTGTTGGAAAAGCATTCCAGGTGATTACCTCATGAAGCTGGTTGAGAGAATGTCAAGCTGTCATCAAGGCAAAGGGTGGCTACTTTCAAGAATCTAAAATCTAAAATATATTTTCATTTGTTTAACACTTCTTTGGTTATTACATGATTCCATATGTGCTATTTAAGTTTTGATGTCTTCACTATTATTCTACAATGTAGAAAATAGTAAAAATAAAGAAAAACCTTTGAATGAGTAGGTGTGTCCAAACTTTTGACTGGTACTGTATATATACTGTGTGGGAAAAAAGTATTTAGTCAGCCACCAATTGTGCAAGTTCTCCAACTTAAAAAGATGAGAGAGGCCTGTAATTTTCATCATAGGTACACGTCAACTATGACAGAAAAATTGAGAAAAATAAATCCAGAAAATCACATTGTAGGATTTTTTTATGAATTTATTTGCAAATTATGGTGGAAAATAAGTATTTGGTCACCTACAAACAAGCAAGATTTCTGGCTCTCACAGACCTGTAACTTCTTCTTTAAGAGGCTCCTCTGTCCTCCACTCGTTACCTGTATTAATGGCACCTGTTTGAACTTGTTATCAGTATAAAAGACACCTGTCCACAACCTCAAACAGTCACACTCCAAACTCCACTATGGCCAAGACCAAAGAGCTGTCAAAGGACACCAGAAACAAAATTGTAGACCTGCACCAGGCTGGGAAGACTGAATCTGCAATAGGTAAGCAGCTTGGTTTGAAGAAATCAACTCTGGGAACAATTATTAGGAAATGGAAGACATACAAGACCACTGATAATCTCCCTCGATCTGGGGCTCCACGCAAGATCTCACCCTGTGGGGTCAAAATGATCACAAGAACGGTGAGCAAAAATCCCAGAACCACACGGGGGGACCTAGTGAATGACCTGCAGAGAGCTGGGACCAAAGTAACAAAGCCTACCATCAGTAACACACTACGCCGCCAGGGACTCAAATCCTGCAATGCGAGACGTGTCCCCCTGCTTAAGCCAGTACATGTCCAGGCCCGTCTGAAGTTTGCTAGAGTGCATTTGGATGATCCAGAAGAGGATTGGGAGAATGTCATATGGTCAGATGAAACCAAAATAGAACTTTTTCGTAAAAACTCAACTCGTCGTGTTTGGAGGACAAAGAATGCTGAGTTGCATCCAAAGAACACCATACCTACTGTGAAGTATGGGGGTGGAAACATCATGCTTTGGGGCTGTTTTTCTGCAAAGGGACCAGGACGACTGATCCATGTAAAGGAACGAATGAATGGGGCCATGTATCGTGAGATTTTGAGTGAAAACCTCCTTCCATCAGCAAGGGCATTGAAGATGAAACGTGGCTGGGTCTTTCAGCATGACAATGATCCCAAACACACCGCCCGGGCAATGAAGGAGTGGCTTCGTAAGAAGCATTTCAAGGTCCTGGAGTGGCCTAGCCAGTCTCCAGATCTCAACCCCATAGAAAATCTTTGGAGGGAGTTGAAAGTCTGTATTGCCCAGCGACAGCCCCAAAACATCACTGCTCTAGAGGAGATCTGCATGGAGGAATGGGCCAAAATACCAGCAACAGTGTGTGAAAACCTTGGGAAGACTTACAGAAAACGTTTGACCTATGTCATTGCCAACAAAGGGTATATAACAAAGTATTGAGAAACTTTTGTTATTGACCAAATACTTATTTTCCACCATAATTTGCAAATAAATTCATTAAAAATCCTACAATGTGATTTTCTGGATTTTTTTTCCTCATTTTGTCTGTCATAGTTGGTGTGTACCTATGATGAAAATTACAGGCCTCTCTCATCTTTTTAAGTGGGAGAACTTGCACAATTGGTGGCTGACTAAATTCTTTTTTCCCCCACTGTAAATGTGCAAATATGTTTAAAAAAAGTTTTTGCTTTGTCATTATGGGGTATTGTGTGTAGATTAATGAGGATTCCATTTTAGAATAAGGCTGTAACGTAACAGAATGTTGAAAAAGTTAAGGGGTCTGAATAATCGTTTTTTTATTAGATTAGCCTACCCTGACTGCACGCCGCTGGTGTGTGTGTGTGTGTGTAAACACGTGTGGTACATTTCCTAAATTCCTTTTTTGGTTGTCATGTGCTGTTTGCAGATTTTGTATTAGTCAGACCTCTTTCTATATTGTTCTTAAATGGAGAAATCCCCCTGCTCTGTTGTTTCAGGAAACCCACCTTGTTGAGTGTATGATAGTGTTTTTTCTGCAGCGACTAAATGAAGCAAAGCTGCAGCAGTTTCAGTGGCACCTGACTAAGGGGAAGTTGGAAGTCTTCGATCCCATCCCAAAGGACCAGCTGAAGAAAGGTGACACGAAAGACACAGTGGATAAAATGGTGGACAAGTACAGTCCTGACGGAGCTGTGAGGATCACAGTGAAGATTCTGAGAAAGATTAAGCTGAACGATCTCGCTGATGAGTTAGAAAATAACTACAGAGAAGGTAACTAATTCAGCAGCTTAAACTTAGTTTATAGATACAGTATGTGTTGATTGACTTAAACCCTGTGTAACATTACACCATGATGAACGCACGCAAGCACACCACACACACACACACACACACACACACACAGACACACTGTGCTTTACTTGCAGATATCATCAGTTGTGTTGGTTGCAGCAGGGTCACGTTGCAGGCCTGTTTCCTTTTCTGTAGTTTTGGTTCCTCAGGATGACCCCAATTTCACTTCCTCTTTCTCTCTCTTCAGCAGAGGGAGCAAAAGGACATGTTAATGGGGAAAGTCGATTCCTCCACTCAAACTCTGGCCACCTCTCTCCACCTCACCATCAAAGCTCAGAATGGATGCCGCCAATCTAATGTTGTTGGAAATATGAGCTTCAGTGTAATTTCGATTTTTTAAATGCTTTTGATTATTTATATTTCATAATTATGTGTTTTATAAGACAGACGAAGAGCATTACATTCCTCAGTTAACAACTTAGGTGATCAAAGCAACATCTTATCACACAATCTTATGAGCTGATCTGGTGTCTAACTGTTGGACACAACCACTACATTTTTTATGAAGATGTACATACACTATCTACTGGCAGTAAAAGTGTTGCAAATGTAAAGAATTTCGTTATTTCTCAGTGTTTTAGAATTAGTTCCAGGCATTTTTATATAAATTCCAGTAGTTCTTTATCAAAAGCCTTTTCAAAGTCAGCTATGAAAACCAGGCCTAGTTTTCCAGATTTTTCAGTGTTCTATTGTTTCCAGTACTTATATTTCCTCTAATGTATCGTCCATGTAAAAAACCTGTCTGATTAGGGTTAATAATATCCGACAATACCTTTTTAATTCCTAGTGCTATGCACTTTGCTCGAATATTTGCATCACAACACTGAAGTGTAAGGGGCAGTGGCGGCTCCTGAAAAAATTCTCAGGAGGGGCAATTTTTCTGATGATTTAGGTGACCTACACACATTTTAAAAAAGATATGTCCAGCAACAACATGAAGACAGGGGCAGCATATAAGTCAATACCAGAAGCATTTATTGACTGATCTGGGGAGATGGATTCCAGTTTCTGTGACAGATTATAAATAATCTCTGATGCCTTTGTTATATTAGCTTTTGGTTGAATGTACTGTCGTAGTAAATATATAATGTTATAGCTTGGTCTGACTAAAATCTTGTGCATGACCCATTTTGTGTTGGGCCTTTGTATTCAATACAATGAACAAGAGTCCTATCTTGTCAGCCTTGTCAGCAGGTGGCTAAGGATAACACCCACGCCATAGGTCTCTCAGTTCTTCCAACTCACGAGTTCTTGCCCTGAGGACACACACACACACACCCACACACACACACACACACACACACACACACACACACACACACACACACACACACATCATCACTGATAAACACACACACACACACACACACATCATCACTGATAACAAACACACACACACACACACACACACACACACACACTGATAACAAACACACACACACACACACAAATCCTCTTCTCTTAGGCTGAACATCTGAAGACAGAGAACCCGACTCAGAGCCAAAGCAACAGTGACACTAGCCTGGAGGTGACCTCGCCCAACTCATCAGGACCAATCAGAAGATCAGAACTACTAGATTCAACCTACTTCATTTTATTGTATAAAATGTCAGCACACAATGTTTAGGGGCTCTTCTGATAAACTCCCTACGAGTTTGACGAACGGGTCCGTGCACGCGATTCCAGATATCTTTACCTCTGAATAAACTGCCTTATATTATACAATTATCCACCTTGTCCAAAAGTCTCTACTTGGTCTCCGTTCTCCAGTAAACTTGTTTTATCAACAATAGTAAGGTTCAATGACACAGAAAGCAGTTCAATGTCGGGGTACAGAGTCGCTCTCTTACCAGGATCGCGGTCCGCTCTGACCAGGGTGAAGCCGGCCGGCTCCACCTCTCTGTCCGGGACTCTGTCATCCAGCCAAGTCTCCCAGCTGTATTGGGATTCCGCTGCCAGCAGCGTTTTCATTATTTAGTCCGTTCGTAGCGGGTATGTACACGATCAACAAGATCAGTCCAAAACCGAAGATCAGTCCAAAGCAGAATGTTTGCAGAATGTTTGTAAACTAAGTCTACAAATTAAAAACATAAAATAATGCCACACTGCAGGTCGCAACATAGACGCTGCTAGCCGCCATTGTCTTAGTTACGTTCAACGTTACGTCACGTATGACGAAAGCGCGTAAGTGCATGCCCACAGACACCCATAGAGAATGTATTGAAAGCTTTGAAATGTGAAAAAATTTGATTTTACATGACAGGCTATGAGAGACTTCTGGGCGATTTTCAACCTGACTGAAATCGCCCAAAAAACGGGCGGGGCCATTTGAAGCACGACTTTAGCCTGATTTGACATTTAGTGGCTGGCAGATCAGACGTGAACACTGATAACTGCTGTTGCCGTGATATAATTGATTAGAAAAAAAATCCCTTCCTTTTCCCGTTTGGCAGTGCGTCGCCCATATCGCCCTATTGAACAAGCCGTCCCTGGTAAGGGGCCTCCATTTTTTAAAATGGACTGGATCTTTATATTTACCACTTGGGTCCTGTTTCAGGAATAATGAAATCAGACCTTCTTGTTGAGTATCTGATAATCTACCATATTTATAGGAGTGGTTAAAACATGCTAATAATGGTCCTCTGAGTACATCAAAAAAGGTTTGGTATAACTCAACTGGTATGCCATCCAGCCCTGGAGTTTTCCTGGACTTAAAGGCTTTAATTGCAACAAAATGTTCCTCCTCTGTAATTTGGCCTTCACATTAGTCTTTCTGTACAGCAGTTAATTGTACATTATCAATTTAAAAAAATAATAATATTAAAATCCTTACAATTAACTTGTCGTCCCAGTGACTGGCAGACCACCCCTATCCACCTGTATCCCAGGGCCTTTGAGAGATTGGGACCCATCCTTTAAAATGAGCACACAGTGCCACCCACAGAACCGAAGCAGATTAACTCATATCTTAATTTATTTCCAAATTAACAAATAATATGCATAATAATGTTGGCAGTTCATACGAAGGATGGTTACCTATAACCATGATTGACATTACAAAAATACATTTTTGGCAAGCAATCATTATTTTGGCAAACAATTATTGTGATTCATCCTGTATTGTCCCTAACATTATTTCCCTATAGCAACAGATGTGGGATACACACACACACAGTCCCCACCCTTACATTTTAGTCATTTAGCAGACGCTCTTATCCAGAGCGACTTATAGTTAGCGAGTGCATACATTTTTCATACTGGCCCCCCGTGGGAATCAAACCCACAACCCTGGCGTTGCAACCCTCTGATTGTCCGAATGTGAACCCCTCCCCATGGGTTACTGCAGCTAGTGTTGCCAGCCCTGCCACTACCTGGGTGGGGGTACCCCAACGGCTAGGTACAAGGTCATCAAGGTTCTCATTAGCAGCTTTGGCTTTGTTGGACCAATCCTGCCAGGCAGGCTCAGACTCTTGAGGGGGCAGTGCTGCTTTAGTGGGTCTCTGACCGCGTTTATCTTTCTGTCTTGGCTGCATAATACAGATAAGGATTTCTCCTTAGTGTGTGGTTCGCTCAGGTGGGTGTCTAGGGTACAGGGTTGGGGAACGCTCCATCATGATAAGAAAATAAATAAATCAACTATATTTATAATCTATTTTACAGTTTTTCTCAATTGCTAAAACACTAAACCCTATTGTCTGAACCAAATGCTCAGTTGCCTGAACCCACTGATTGAATCAATCACTCTTTTGGCAAAACCATAAGCACTTTTCACCTGTTTAGACATAACTTGCCAACACATTTTCATTGTGATGCACCCGTGCTGCATAATGGTGAGCACAGGTGACAAAAGTCAAACACAATTAGAGCACAGGTGTCACCACTTGAACACAACAACTCAAAATTGATCACACTTGTGGCTAATGATGTGAGGGAACATATACAGTAAGCCAGTTCAGAGAGCACTGGTTTGTGAGGCCCTACAATGGATAGAAATCTGAGAGGAAGAGTTCGTGTGAGAGGAGGTCGAGGTGGTCGAGGTGGTCAGCGAAGACAAAGAACAGTAATATCTGATGAAATCAGAGCTACTGTGATTGACCATGTTCTTGTCCATGGTATGAGCATGAGGGAGGCTGGACAAAGGGTACAACCAAACATCAGTAGATTCACTGTGTCCACCATAATCCGAAGATTTAGAGAAGAGAACAGGTAATTACCTTTTTTTGACATTATAGTACAGTATGTAAATGTTGACAGCAATTACTGTATGACATACTATATACTGTACCACAGTATACTGTAAGTAAATATATGTTTCAGTACATCACTGTACCAATGTACTGTAGTATTGTAATGGAGGGTTGGTCTAACTGTTTGTAGGCCTAGTATTCCATGTATATTTTTTGTAACTCCATGTTCTCTTTTTGTAGAATTGAAAGACTGCCACATGGGGGTGGGAGGACAGGTATGTTCTCCCCACACCAAGAGACCCTAATTGTTGAAATGGTCCGTGAGAACAATGCCATTAAACTGAGCGAAATTCAGCAGAAGATCATTGAGGACCATTTACATTTTGAGGGTATCAACAGTGTCAGCCTCTCTACTGTTGATCGTGTCCTCAAGCGCAACAGACTGCGCATGAAACAGCTATACAGAGTGCCCTTTGATCGCAACTCAGACAGAGTCAAAGAGCAAAGATTCCAGTATGTACAGGTTGGCATATATCCAGACACATTCAATGTTGATTACTCTAAGTAGTGATTTACTGTAGTGGCCTAAATCACTTTTTCCGTATCACTTACAAAACTATATCTATTTCTACAGAGGGTTTTTCAACTGGATGCAATGGAAAGACCCCATCAATACATCTACATGGATGAAGCTGGGTTTAATCTCACCAAAAGGAGAAGGAGAGGCCGTAATGTGATTGGCCATCGGGCCATTGTTGGTGTTCCTGGGCAGCGTGGTGGCAATGTCACATTATGTGCTGCCATCAGCAATCATGGGGTTGTCCACCATCATGCCAACCTGGGGCCCTACAACACTCACCAGCTCCTCATTTTCCTCAATCACATGCGAGATGCTTTGTTAGGGCAGCAGGATGAGCATCCCATCTATGTTGTTGTTTGGGACAATGTGCGTTTTCACAGAGCCCTCCAGGTTAGAGAGTGGTACAATATGAACCAAGGTTTTATCAATCTTTGCCTTCCACCGTACTCCCCTTTCCTAAACCCCATTGAGGAATTATTCTCCTCATGGCGGTGGAAGGTATATGAACGCCAACCTTACACCAGGGTAAATCTCCTGCAAGCCATGGGACTTGCCTGTGGTGACATAGGTGTGGAGGCATGCCAAGCCTGGATACGGCATGCCAGGGTTTTTTTCCCCCGTTGCCTGGCCAGACAAAATGTGGCCTGTGATGTGGATGAAGTCCTTTGGCCTGACCCAGTGCGGAGACATGATGCTGTGGCTGAGTAATGCACTTACTTGTATATTTTTGTACTTTATTTTTACATGGGCTTACTGTACACAAGTGGCAAACGCATAAGATTTCTGTTTGTTTTTACAAGTGCTACATGTAAATGCACAAGATTTCTGTTTTGTCTTTTTGTACAAGTGCTAAATGCACAGTTTTTTTTGTTTTGCAACATGCATTTAGCCTACAGTGAACAATAAACATTTATTTCTCCAGCTTCATGTCCTGAGCATTGTGTTTTCTATTTTTCTACGTAGTGTTTAGTGACTGTTCAGTAGTGTTTTTTATTTTGATTGACTCGGGGCACGATTTGACAACATAGTTCAGTTTTGAGCACAGATTGAACTGTTTTGAGGTGAAAGTTTGGTTTTGCAAGAAGAGTCTGAGGTTTTGTGAATGTAGCTTGAAAATTGGGTTTTGTGTTCACAGTTAAGAGAAAAGGAGAGCAGCTTTCAAGAAATGTGTCTTAGCAATCGAGAAAAACTGTAAAATGTATATCCCATATCTGCACAAAATTGAAAGCACTCTGTCACAACTCCTGCTCGCAGACACACATGGGCTCTGGCATTTGCAACCATTTTCCTTTTCCAAACACAAAAACACACACCCCACCTTCCATCACAATACACCCACACATACCCACATACTGTACCTTTTATGTCTTTTTATACCTTTATCATCACTTATCTCGAGGCTCGCCTTTATGTCCTTTTTTTCTTTACTGACAAGTTCAAGTACGCCCAATTTATAATTGATTGATTTTAGCAGGTCGGTTTCCACTCTTACCGTACCAGGTGGTGAAAAGCATAAATCATCGATGTCTGTCGAGGAATCTCGTAGTTTTCACTTGGAGTTTGGTTCTTCAATTTTGTTCCCTGGTTCCTCTCCGACATGTTTTGACCTCGACTGCGTTCGTAATATTTATCAATAAACTTCTCTAGCCTTATTCGTTTTTTGGGGTTATTATCCAGCTTGAATGTTATTGCCCACGAGTAAATGGATCAGTGTAGTGCTACTATTTAGTCCGTTTTAGAGATAATGAATATTGAGATTTCTCATGAGGCATTCTGCACCGCCATCACTTGCCTCTCAAACTACCTCCAATCCTCCTCTCTTTCATGTTGATGAAACGGTCTATTACTCTGTCATACAGTACACACTTTCATTTTTTGTTGTTTTAGGCTACCTGGCTAAAATGCTTGCTCGCTTGCCTAACTTCCTTTCATGAGCAACGTTAGCTAGTTAACATTAGTCTTCTACATCTAGCTACATATTGAAATTCTGTCCTCTCAGTCCAGGGGCACAATGTATGATTTTATGGTTGATCAGAATCGCCGTTATAATCATCCCTAACTCAATCCATGGCTAATTTAGGAAAGGGCCAATCTTAGCTAGCTAGCTAGCCACCGGAGGACAACAACACCAGATGCAACAACTCAAGTTGTTTCTGTCAATGACGTATTTCTCTTCATGTGATGTGATCAGAGTGAAGCCAAATCCAAAATGGCTTCCCTTGACACTTTTTTTGGGTGTGCCAGGACCATTCACAGTTGAGCTCACTTAGTTTAGCTCAACGCTGATTGGCTATTATTTTATACCTTTTCTTTTATCAAGGGAGGCCAAATGCTCGCTTTGCATTCAATGCACAGGTGGCAACAATATCATACTCTTTATGACCAGACAGCACCAGATAGATGGCCTACACATACAGAGACAGAGGGGCGCTGTTTCGCTGGCTCGGATGCTTTCTCCGGTGAGATACAGTACATTCAGCCTTATGTGAATTGAAGGAAATGTATAAAACACAGAGAGACAAAATATAATTGATTTTATATGTTTTGTTCAAGGTACATTTTTATGGGGAAGCCTGACTTCCCTTAGCATCCATGAATACACACCACTGCATTTCTCCAATGTCAAGAGCATGCAGTCTGGCCAGACAGTCTAATATCAACTCAAACATAGACGCTAGTTTCATGGTAGTTTAATTTCAACATAATTATGCATCACTCAGAAGTTCATGTTTTACCAGAAATAAATCTATGTCTGGAGGATGCACCTTATAGTATGCCAACATTATAGTCATTATTATTATTACTGAATATAAGGCATCTCACATAAGATAATTTACATTGTAGAGCCTACACTTTCCATACATACAGAATCATTTAATTTAATGTTTTGAGGCATGGGGGTATTGGAGTAGTTAGCATGAGGGACTGGGGGTAAAGGGTGTAATGAACTTGATCACTGCCAAACTCTCAATGGAAGGAATATTTGGTAACACTTTATTTGCCACGTACTGCACTTTATAACAGTATCAATGTGTGGTAGTAAAATAATATAGAATTAAAATGTTACCAAATACTTTTTGGACTGACGGGGACGACTGTGATGATACCTCAAATCCTGTGGTAAACAAATGTTTATAAAGTAAACAATACAGTAGTTATGGGCTTCATCTATGCATTTAATAGTGTTAGTAGTAATGGACGGTTATGATTTGAGTCCAACAATGATTTCCCAGGCCAGGGTAGGCCAGGCATTATAAAGTCCTTTTCCATCTGAGCTGTGACCACAGACACAACAAGTTCTCCTTCGGAGGATTCTGGAACACCAAGTTATCTTGCTGAATGACTCCAGATCACCAGGACAAACTGCATGATTGGAACCCATAGAAATATAATCTAGACTATATTTATATGAGTGGAACCATCTTATAATGGCAGCAGGGTTATTCCGTTGCCGTATCATAAAGAAAGTTCACATTCTGCCTTGGACTGTCAGTCGCTCACATGCAATCATGCAAGAAACAAACACGTTAAAGAATCTCAGGAGAACTTCACTGGCTTACAGACTCTGTCTAGAAGAAATCTATAGAAGCCATCTTGGCCCATCCAAGTGAGCACAAGCCATTGAGAATATGTATTTTCAACCAAAAATATGTATTTTGAACTTCTTTTCAACAACAATTTTTTATTTTCAATGTCTGTTGCTCAATGGTGTTGTACTCTAGAATCTATCATGTGAAACAGCAAACAAATACAAATCAACAACAACAATGTAAAGGGGTTTCCTATGGCACAAAGTAACGATCACTGTTTGCAAGCTCCGTGGATAAGAGTTCATATCCTTTAGAGTGAGCTCAGCTAGCTCTGGGGTGGGGATGAAGTCCATTATAAAGCTGGGGAGCAAAGTGGGACAGTTCCTTTGTTTGCCTCCATAGCTGAAGATGAGACAAAGACTGCCTTCCTCTTTTTTATGTCTGGGGAGCTTCAGCACCAACTCCTCCTTCCCTTCGCAGCCTTTTTGTACAACTCGATGTCTCACTGTCTCGCTCCACATTTAAAGTGTCCAAAGACTCCCCTACCGTATCAACACGTACACACACATGCAATAATACACTGAGCAAATAAAAACCATGGGTTAGGTTATACATTTATATAGATTTATACATACATATAAATTCATATACTTTCAGGAATGTTAATCTTTTTTTTTTCTTTTTCTTAAGGTACAAAATAACTTCTCATATGACAATAATATTCGACATATTAAAAACAATTATCAAGTCTCTTCTTTAAAAAAAAAAAAATCCCATAATAAAAATAAGTTCTATGTTTTATTTTACAATATATTTTCTTTTTGCCCTCTGGCAGCAGGTCCCTTGTTTTGTTTGTGGTTGTTTCCATGGCGATGACATGATATTATAACGGGCACTTGGCACAGCCACACTCCAGGGTGGTCTCCATGTCCTCAGAGTACGAGGTCCCGTCGGTACACTTGAAGACCACTTTCCGCCTCCGGCTCTTGGATGGGGCGCAGCAGAAGCCTCCGTCACAGGCGCGGGGACACTCCACCCGTGGGATCTTACTGGTGGAGGTGCATGTCTTCATGGGCTGGTGGCGCTTCAGCAGCTCACGCACCACCTCTCCCTGGCACGCCGGTTCTGTGAGGGGGGCAATCAGAACGGTTCAGTGTCACTATAACATCTGATTTTATTCATGGTTTTATTTTAGATAGCCTAACTGAAGAATTGCATATAATTCCTATGGACCTCTGAGAATCAAGTTTCTGTATACAATAAAATGTCCATACATCAGCATGACAGTTTCTGTGTGTGTGTGTTCCTCTCACCTGCGTCACAGGTAGGGCCAGTGTAGCCCGGCTGGCAATGGCAGGAGGGCTCCCCGCTATCTGTGACCCTACACTCCCCGTGTCCACACTGGTGTCCCCTACAAGCTTGGGGCTCCTCTCTCCTGTCACAGTACTGCCCTGTGTAGCCCTCAGCACAATGACAAATGTAGGACGACGCCTTAGGCACACAAAGCCCATGGACACACCTGGAACAAAGAGATTTCGATAATATGAGGAATGTTAATGTGTGTAAAATGTATCCACATGTTGAGTACATATTATTCATATTTTATAATATTATTAAACATGAGAAAGTGTAAAAGTATGAGTCCATTTGTATCTGTGTGAATGTACTGATGAGGATAATGCCTCAAGCAATGATTAATTCATTATGAATGAGTTATGACTAAAGGCTTATATGGAGGTGTCCTGTGTAGGCCATACCTGCTGCTCTGACAGGGGCTAGGGGCGGTCTTCTGGTCACAGAGGGGTCCGCTGCGGCTGGGTGGGCACTCACAGGACACACCCGTCTCCCCCCTCTGTCTGCAGGCGCCCTGGGCACACACGCTGCAAGAGTGGCAGCCTGGCAGGATGCCTTCCATCCCACGCGGCGCTGCCCCCAGATCCTGGAGCTCTCCGTTGATCCTGACGTTGTGGATGCAGCCGTTGAAGGCCTGGGGGCTGCGGTCGGGACCTGAACGCAGGCCGGACGCCATTACCGCTGAGGGCACACCTGGAGGGGAGGAGGAGGTGGAGGAGGGATGGAAGAATGAAGGGGTTAGATCATTCTGACATTCTGGTTTGATGTTCTGACATTTTGTGAAATTTAAATTACAAAAAAATAGGCTTATGAAACAACATCTTTAAGCATCCTCAAAATCAGTAGGTATGCGCGGTGGTGTTTTTATAAATAATGTAATGGCGTGTACAGGTATATGTGCTATATGGGTCTCTACTTACCTCCTATGTAGAGCTGTGTGTTGTAGTCGACTGAGGGCTGGCGGGGCAGCTTGCCCAGGCTCTTGGGGGCTCCCTTGTCCACCACCAGGCTCAGAGAGTGGTTCTGAATCAGGAGCTCCACCGTGTGGAACAGACCGTCACTCACAGACTCAACACTGCAGAGAGAGTGAGAGAGAGAGAGAGAGAGAGAGCGACAGGCAGGAAGACATTAAAAAATATGGTACAACAACACTGCACAGAGACAGGGAAAGAGAGGGGACACAGGGGCATTACAACACATGGAATATAGGAGTTATTATAGAATATGAGAAAACACCTATTCAAGGACAAATTCAGTAGAAAAGGAGACTTGGAATGGCCTCATACAATAAACATAGCTGGTTTCTCTATAGGATATCACACATTATTCTGTGGCAGTTTAATTGTTACAGAGCTCTCGTTTGGTGTGAGAGCAGGGTGTTGAAAGCTTTCATTGGCCGTGATTCTATGCAGCCATGCGGTTTGAGACCTCTCACACACGTACTGTGTGGAGGGTGAGAGCTCTGTGAGAGCTGGGAGATGTATCACTCTGGCCCCGTGAACAATAGCAGCACTCTGGAGAGCGATTGCCTTTCACACTACTCATGTTTAAACCATGGCAGGGCACCGAGGAGGACTCTCTGCCTCCTCACCCAGCCCGCAAAAACAAACTCCAACTGGAATAGCAAGCTATGATGCTGGTAGGTTCAGGCTGAGCCAGATGATTTTGGCCCTCACAATGATAATAGGCCTGTTGCTGCTGGACTGCTCCAGTTCCCACACTGACTGACTGGCTGACTGCTGGGTACAGAACAGGCTGTACTGCCTCTGGGCCCGCCTGGTTACTGCTGGGTAATTGTGTTTGGTCTAAGGGCTGATACAACAGTAGCCTGGGGTATGAGGTCGTAACCCCGCTCGACCCTGTGACCTTGGGAGGGGAGGAGAGTCGAGGAGGGGGTAGATGCGGTCATTTTGGGTTAGGCTGCAAGGCTCTGACTGAGGGCGAAGGGGTAGATGGGGCCAGATTAGAGGGATAGATGGGTCAGGTTGAGGGGTAGATGGGGTCAGGCTGATCACTAGTATGGACGTTATTTCTGGAGAGGAGACAGGCATCTACAGTACAGACAGCTAGAGACAGTGGTTTGGCAGGGATAGAGAGGGGGAGAGAGAGAGAGAGAGAGAGAGAGAGAGAGAGAGAGGGGGGGGGGGGGGGGAGAGAGGGTAGAAGATAGCTTCTGTTGGCTAGTAGCGAGATAATTTTCTAGAGATAGAAGAGAGAGAGTGAGAAGAGAGATAGAACGAGCGACCGGTTGTAAATTGAGTGCAGCTCTTTCCCTCCACTTCTCCACTCAGCCCAAAAGTAGCTCTTCCTATCCTTACCCCAAGAAATGTTTTGTTCCAAAAACATAAACGAGAGAAAAACCCACTCTTGCCGCTGTTGGGTTGCGGTCTTCTCCAAAAACAGCATACCATCAGCGGAGTTTAGCAAGGCTCCTCCCCCCTACTGCCAGCTCTCCTATTGGCTGATGGTTAAAAACGTTTGATTGACACTTGCCGCAGTGGTTCAATGACAGTATTATTAGAATTAACAGCCAGTAGAAAAGTACTGTGAGTTCTGGAGGTGGGCCCAGAACACAGAAAAAAAAATGGCCATAGGTGGCTCATTGACAGCTAGAGTCCTGACTGCTCCCTCCATACAGGCCAACACACTGACAAGACCAAGACCAGCAGTAAAACTAGATAATCAGCACGCTACAAGCACAACTAACCAATGTTCACCAGTAGGTCATGAAATGTGTGAGGACTTTAACACAACAAAGTTAAGAGGACAGGTAAAGGACACAGCCCACCACAGCTCAGCAATTGGCCAACGTGGTTTCAGTAAAAAAGGTCTTTGCTCAACAAAGGGCCAACACAGACGCAGGCAGCATGTGTGGTTTGCATTATGGGCCCGTAATTCAATTCCAGTCTGAAAACAGGGCTTTTGCAACCAACACAACGGTAGGCCTGCTGCAAAGACCCCCTTCCGCCTCCCTGTCCTCCATTCGATATGTAAATACCACCATGGAAGTCCAGCTTTATTACACTTTAATGACATTTTCATCCAGTGTCTGTGGTTTTGACAGCAGTCTTTCATTACGCGGCAATCTGAAAACCCACATCCTCGCCAAAGGGGGAGTAGCGGGGAAGAAGAGGGTTTTGGGTTGGAGGAAAAGAGGTCTAGAAAAAATGTCAAGAGCTTTATTTCTGTTTTTAGCTCTTTCAAATGACAACCCTGACAACAAGGTGATAATGGTCTCTGGGAAAAAAGTGTGAAGTAATACTAGGTGTTAAACAGAGGAGCTCACATCCTGAGATGATGTCATATGACCACAGAGGGGCAGCAGAGGTCTAGCCTAACAAGGTGAGCAGTGTAGCTCAGCCCTCCAGCCTTTGCCAATATTGGGTTTTGTCTGTGTTTTGACAAGCTGAAGTTTTCCAGAGGCAATGATATTTTTTCGAGGGGGATGCGGGGTCTTTGATGTGTGCCAAGCCTGCGTATTAGCTTAAAGCGGGCCATTATGGAACTCAATAAAAACAAACAGAAAGCCGTTGCAGATTTCAGCAGCCTCGTGTCCCCTGCAAGTCGACCGGGGGGAAGTCAATTTCCTGTCAGCCGAGAATCAAATACTCTGTTTTCCTCTCACAACCAAACCGCATTAGAAATGACACATACACAAACTTAGAAACAATTACCGGTTGCATTTATCTGAGTAAAGATACCTTGAACCAGCTACCCTGTAGACCCTATTTACATTTTAAAATGAAATTAGCCAGCACTATCATTTGCTTACAATGTAGCACTAACCCGACTAGCTTGTTTAGTGTATGGGGTCTGGGGAATGGGGGGATGTTGTTTGGCTGCCTGGCTGGCTCCTCTTAGGGATAGCTAGGTTTAACAGCAGCTATCTAAACCATCTTAACGGCTGGGGGTAGCTAGGTTGAAACATACCAGCTATGCCCTTGAAAGGACTTGACTCCAGCTTCCCAGAGACCGGAAGCTAATCATGGTCTAAACACGCCGGTCTCATGGTCTCCTTTATGGTGCTTGCCAGTGGTGCTGTATTCTCCAGCCAGATGTCACACTCCATTCTCCTAACCTCTGTGGAAGACTTTCTGCATCCCAATTGTCAATTATCCCCTATATAGTGCACTACTTTTGACCAGGGACCATCGAGAGGCTCATCTCATACCCAACCAACGGTTCCTCTCTCTCTCCTCCTCATCTCTCTCTCTCATCTCTCTCTCTCTCATCTCTCTCTCTCTCTCTCTCCTCTCTCTCTTCCCTCCTCCATCTCCGTCTCTCTCGATCTCTCTCTCTCTCTCTTCTCTCTCTCTCCTCTCTCTCTCTCTTCTCATTCTCCTCCTCTCGTCTCTCTCTCTCTTTCTTTCTTTCTCTCCTCCACTCTCTCTCGCGCTCTCTCTATCTCCTCTCTGCACCCTCTACCAGTAGCCCCACTTTGTTCCCATGCTGCATGTCCTCTCCTCTCTTCTCCTCTCCTGTCTTCTCTCCTTTGTGACTCAGCCCTTTAAAGAATCTCTCCACGCTGCTCTGATGTGGCACTCAGCTCAAAAGATACATATTCGGCTGATACTGAGTGGAGCAGAGAAAAGCAACAGAGAGAAGAGAGAGAGACACTCTGACCCCTCTATAGGCTCTTCTCTGCAGCTCTAAATCAAAGTTTCATGGCAGGCAAGGGCTGGCTGCTTTCTGAAGGGCACCAATACAGATACTGTAGGCCTGTGTCCCGAATGGCACCCTATTACCTACATAGTGCACTACTTTTGACCAGAGTCCTATGGGTCCTGGACAAAAGTAATGCAATTTATAGGGAATAGGGTGCCATTTGGGATGCAGCCTAGGTGTGGCAGTGGATCACGGAACCTAGAAAGGGTGGGAGGGAGTTGAGTAGCAATTGAAACACTCTCGTTCAATTTTCTGTGATGTTTTTATGCCCCTTTCCTTCCATACTTCTTCTCTCCCTCTATCCTGAATAACGGCAGATGTGGTCCCCTAAACTAATAGAAGGATTTCTGTGGCATTTGGTAAAGGGCAGGACATTAACACATAGTGAGGACCCGGGCATTCATCTGATGGTAATGAGGCCTCTCGGGAGGGGAAAGGGCCTCTCCCCTGCTGCCTCCATCTCATCCCTCTCTCTCCCTCTCTCTCTTTTCCTCCCCTGTCGTGTGAGGCAGGTTAGATCTGGAAAGATGAGTGCTTCACACCCCACCTTCCCTTCAGACAGACAGGTTTGAGGTGTGACTTGACCAGACCACCCTCTGTCCACTCATACTTCTCTTTCCTGTTTTTGTCACCACTCTCTCCTCTCCTCGCCTTCCCGCTCACGCACAGCCTTCATTCCCCTCCGTGAATCACCTGCATCTCCTCCATCCTCTCCACCTCGTCACCGCCTCTCCTCGCTCTATCTCTCACCCGTCATGCCCTCTCTTCCTCGCATCTCCACAACTAACAGAATCCACACACACTCCACAAGCACGGAAAGAAGAGTGCCCTCCACTCGACCGTCAGCACACTATTCGCTCCAAACAACCACTGTACCTCCCAATCACACCTCAGCTAATTCACTCAACTCTCACTATACGCATGCCACTCCTCATCACCAGCCACAGATCACCAATACTATCAACACACTACACCAACGCATTCCAACAGTCACCCCCACAATTCTCTGCCGACTATTTCCACTTTCCTCGCACATCATCCGTAAGGCAAAACGATGCTTCACCTATTCTTGCTACCACCCAACGAACTTAAACCTTCCGAAAACAATCCTCATACAGACAGCGTCAGCCTAATTCCATTCTCTTCATTCTCAAATCTCAAACATCCCTTCCTACCCAGCCCAATGTCACTTGCCACAACCATCACCACTCATCCACCAACCACAACGACAGATACGCAACTTTCACCACCTATCTCACCTCAATACATGTCTCTCCCACTCAGATCGCTCCTGAGCATGCTCATCACCATCACCGCAAGCTCCACCACACACCAACCAAAACTCACGTGGGTCGGTTGGCATGCTACGCTCCATCACAACACCACGACTATCCACACATCATCCAACTCTCACCCTCTCTCCTCCTCCATCCTCACACCATCCACTCACATTTTTTACCCTCGCATCATTCTTGTGCTCGTCAAAATACCGGCGATGAATCTCCTCCTCCAATCTGCCACCCGTCACCTCTCCTCTCCATCTCCACCGCTCACGCTCTCCTCCTCACCTCCACCTCTCGTCACCACATCTCTCTCCTCCCATCGCTCTCTCCAGCGGGCAGCCCACCCGTCGACCTTTTCCTCCTCCATCCTCCCACCACTTCACCTCTCCTCTCTCCACTCCTCACCTCGTCACCCTCTCCTCCTCCATCTTCATCCTCCGCCCCCGTCACCTGCTTGCCTCCTCCATCCTCCACCCGTCACCTCTTCTCCTCCTCCCCTTGCTGGAGCTGTCTCTCCTCTAGCAGTCTCCACTCTCATGCTCCAGATGTTAACTGTGTGTAATGTGATAGCGGTGTGTCCCCCCCCCAGTGCAGGTTGCGGTGCTGCAGGGCAGGGAGAACTGCAGGCAGCCAGAAGGAGCTGCAGGAGAGAAGGAGCTGCAGGAGTGGAAACATCCCCTTCCTCCCCTGGCCGCCCTCCCGCCTCGCTCCCACCGCGTCTTTACGATCCACCGTCCATTTGAAGTCGCTCTCCCGCCAAGAGCCCCTGGAGTACAGAGGGCTGTGGAATGTAGCGACCGCAACCACCACCACTCTCTTTCTCTCTTTCTGAAGGTCAACCTCCACAAAGCTCAACTCACAGTCCATCCACATCTATGCATCATTGGGCGGGAGCTGTGTAAAATTGAGGCCCTGGTTGGAAGTGAGGCCTGCTGCTCTGGTTCCACACGGTTAATGTTAATGCTAACCATCACAGGGAGACTTCAGGAATGCGCTGGGTGCTGTGTACTATGGGCTGTGCCGGGCCTACTCTGGGCTCTGTCGTGGCCCATGTCACAGTAATGGGAGCGGACAGGGGTAATTCCCCTCCTCACTTTCCCGTCCCGTCCCATCTCCTCTCGCTCACCCCATCCCCGCATCACTCCCTCTGCTCCCCAAAGACAATGGGCCGCGGCGCTGCCAAAGCCGCAGAACGCTACGTCACTCTGGGGGAGAAGGGACTAATGAGGGGGAGAGTCTGCAGATCCAGAACAAAATGAGGAAGCCATGACGCATCAGACAGGCCTGGGGCTGGAGCTGGGGTTGGGGATGGAGACAGGCCTGGGGCTGAGGCTGGGTTATAGAGCTGGGGCTTGGATATGATTTCAAACCTAAACCATGACGGCCCATTTGCTTCAGAGTTTAAGCATCTAATTTCATTTTGAAACTGGACATGCTTTTTGAATGCTACAAGATCGA